ATTATATTTTAGATTTTTTATATTTAAAATGAGATGTTTATCCTGTATTTGATTGTGTTTATCTGCAGTTAGTTACACGAATTCAGATATGGGATAAAATCGGATAAGGATGAACGGGTTTAAGAGTTTTTAAGAGTTTAAGAGTTTAAGAATTTTAAGAGTTTTTAAAAGTTTTAGCCAAATGCTTTATAATATAGTATAGATGTAATTGTGTTGATCAAACACACTTAAAAAAATATAAATTGTAGCGAGAATTGTGAACGTTTTTTTTGCATTTGTGAGTTAGTATCTTCTCCCATACAACCATGATTTATATAGTGTATAGAGGGTCAAAAAACAGTCATATGACCATTCCCAAATGTCAAAAAGTGACGACTTCTTTTTGAAAAAAACCGGGCTGGTCCTTATTTGTCCCATAACCGTCCCAGTCCGGACCTTAGTTTTTGGATGAAAAGCCTAAATCGGTCCTATAATCGGTGGGCCATAACCGGTCTCTACTGGGCTGGTCCGGTCCTGGGGCGAACCGGACGGATTTAACCATCGCCTATGTAATGCCACACACACCTTGAAAATACATAAATGAATAAAGGTTCAACACATGGGTAGAGCCCAAGCCCCGAAGTCATCAGAAGAGAAATTAAAGAAAGTGTAAACCGGGCCGGGCTTTTTGGACTTACAAAACCGGGTCAAAACCCATGGGGATCGGATCTCAAGTTATAGTGTTGTTCAAGAAATCACACCTTCAAATACGTTCATTCGAGCTTTTGCTCTGTTGAATCAACGTATTAACGATCTGGGTTATCCTTCTCGATTTAAAAGGTATGATCTCGAGTTACTTCTTCGATTGTGTTGGTTCTTCAATCTGATCACGTAGGTAATTGTACGTGTTTGATAGGATTTGGATTAGAATCATGTCTTCTTAATATATCTAGGGTTTTCTTTCGAATTTTACTTTTTTATTGTGCGGTCCTGAATGAACTCGTTTTTGTCTTAGAGAAGTTTGGTTTTGACATGAAACACAGTGGATGTATTTCCTTGCGGAGTAAGTTTTACATTTTGCCAAATTTGAGTCGTAGCAGCGTAACACTGAGGCGCAAAATTAAGTACTTTAGATGCAATTAGTTTTTGTTTAGTGGCTGATTGGAGCACAAATGCATTTAGAAGATTCATAGCTTACGAGCAGATGACTGATAGGCTTGATTACTGAATTATTTTAACAGGTTCCTTGGTTTGACTGTTGGTTAGTATATAACGTCGTGTCTTTTTGGGGATTGCTTGTGGGATTTGTTAGATTACACACCTGAGTTTTGATTTCCTTTCAAAAAAATTTATCATTTGTTCTGAAAAAGACTGGCAGATCCTGGTTTCAAGAGTACGTTTGTAAATGTTTCAGGTGACATTAGTTTGAAAATTTGAGCATATGTTACCATTATACTTGGCTTTAGCTTTGAAACAAACCTTAGTAGTTGCAATATTTAGTGAAAGAACTTCAAAAATTTCCATGGTATATGTTTTTTTCTGGGATGTTAGAACGGCAATGGGTTTTTGAAAGCTAATGCTTTGTACAATGGTTATAAATGCTGATTGCTTATAGATATTAGTATCCAAACAAATTATAGAGTGTGATTAATATTTATAAGCATTGTTCTTGGATTTGTGTTCTACAAAACCGTTGTAATTGTCTAAACAAGAGTTGGAAAACTTGTTTTTGCCCCAAGTTCTGCAATTCCAATTGTTATTTTAGTTAAAGTTAAGTGAAATGTTCACAGTATTCACCTTATTCATGTAGAGTAGTTACAAATGCTAAATCATCAATTTTCCATTTGCAAAATTGATATGGTGTTGGTACCTGTTCACCATGATAAGTTCAGTATGTTTTTATATGTAGTATTTATTATGATGTTTGATGCCGTTGTTGATATATTCCACAAACATTTTATAATCCTCATCTATTTCAATTTGAACACAACATGTTGATCCCTAAAGTCAAAGTGTAGTTCTTGTTCTTTTGAAATGGAGTAAATATTATTGAGATTTAAATCTAATGCTGTTGATGAGAGCACAATTTTCCGTTTATACTGCATATTTAGTTTCAGGATAGGGAACTCGAAACCTTATTGATGAATTGATGTTTCTAGGTTGAAATAATGAAGCTTGACTTTGGTGGACTAGAATCGAGTGCACCACTCTATGGGGGAAGTGATGATGTTCTTTCTGATGGGTTCTCAGCTGCCCCTTCATTTGACCTTCCGGTTACATCAGATGTGAGTTTCTTCTCCTCATTATGCCTACAGTACTTGTTTTTTTTTTTTTTTGTCAACTAGAATATAGTGGATGTATTAACATGCTGAATATATACTCTGCTTTCTTGCTTCAGTTTGATGGATTCCAGAAGAATTCTATCCAAATGGTAAAGCCAGCAAAGGGAACTACAACTTTGGCTTTTATCTTTAAGGAGGGTGTGATGGTTGCCGCAGATTCCCGAGCTAGCATGGGAGGCTATATCTGTATACACTTCTTCTAACTCGATAGATAATTTATTTGGTACTTTGATATATTTCATGCAATTGCAGCTTATGCATTCGAGTTCTTTCTTTTTGAACTTTTTCCACTTTCTTCGATTGACGAGGTTTTTTATTTAGTTTGTTTCTGAATCATCTAAAATGACCATGTTTGATGTGATTTACCAAACTATTTGATGTTCTTTAGTAAACATTGGGTTTTAATATATAAATGACGGTCTAAATAGTTTTCAAGAGGTCTATCCATCTTTTGAGAAATTTATTGGCATAATATAGTATCCATTATAGAACTATTTGCATTGCATGTTTCATACCCAGTATGGCAGTATGTGGTTATGATTTTTGTCCCAGTGCAATAAATGTGGAAGAATTCAGAACAAAAAAACTAGTCCAAACTTGTCAATGTGTCTCTGTACATATTCTACTCAAGTATGTATATTCTACTCCTGTTGATGGTTAGTCATAGCTACATATTTATTCAGCATGTTAGAACTTGGATCATGGCCATTTGGTCTAATACGTTCTTCTGTTTCGTTTTTCTCAGCATCTCAATCTGTGAAGAAGATCATTGAAATTAATCCTTACATGTTGGGTACAATGGCTGGAGGAGCTGCCGACTGCCAGTTCTGGCACAGAAATCTAGGCATTAAGGTAATCTTGTAGTGTTGCTACTTCATTTTCAATATAGTAGTCTCTTATCTGAATAATAGGATTCTAAATGCAGATGGTTTTGTGATATGTTTATAAGCATTTTTACCAATCTGCATGTGGCTTTATGACCTGATGCATGTGACATCATTTCTGAAGCTTCCACGAGACTGAGTGAATGTTTGTTTTCATTAAGCCCTGTGTGAATTAGACATTTATTTGGAATAAGGGTGAAATGAACAACTGTTAGTTTATTTTTTGTGCTGAATGAA